CTCAACGCATCGGAAAAACTGCAGCCGTGCCATGCAGTCGCCGCCATTCCCCAGGCAGGCAGGCAAACCTCGGGGGGGGGGGGGGGCGGCGGGTATTTCTGTATTTTCCTTTGCACTTTTTACCTTCTTTCTTTAACCTTAAGAGGGACTTTTTGTTTGTTTTGGTTTCTTTTTAATAAACTTGTGACTTTCAGAGTCACTCAAGGTTTATGGAAAAGCCGCAGGTCAGCACAACAATCCTCACCTCTTTGCGCCCGCTGAGCCCGGCCTGCGGCAGCCCCCCAGGTGTGACGGATGACGAAGCACCCACACGGGCACCTGCCCTCTCCCTAAGCCTGGCTTCTGTGCGCATCCCACCACGAACGTTCTCCTGTCCTCACATCCAGCAGGCTGGGAGTTACACAGAGGAAGAGACAGAGAGAGACAGACAGAGAGAGAGGGAGAGAGGCAGAGGGAGAGAGATGGAGATCTGTCATCCACTGGGTCACTTCCCAAATGGCCACGGAGCTGGGCCAAACGGGAGCCGGGAGCCAGGAGCTTCTGCGTCTCCCACGCAGGTGCAGGGGCCCAAGCACTTGGGCCGTCTCCCACTGCTTCCCCAGGCCACAGCAGAGAGCCGAACAGGAAAAGCAGCAGCTGAGTCTCAAAACCATGCCTGGATGGGCTGCCAGCGTCACAGGCTGCGGCTTAACCCGCTACACCACAGCGCGGGCCCTGGGGGTACCTTTTGATGTATCCTCTTCTGAAAAAAAAAAAGTGCAAAGTTCAGTAATCATGGAGTTATTCGAATGGATGTTGCAAAAAGTGTATTATTATCACACCAGCTGGGGCGTAGCCTGGGGTGAATGAACTGAGAGGGGGTCCTGTGAAGACAGGGGTTGAAGATAAACTCGGAAGGCGGCAGGGCTGGGAGAAGGCAGGTGGTGGCGGCTCGGTCCTCTCCCTCATGGGCCCCGGGGGGTTGGCGCTTGCTTTGGGCCCCCAGCGAGTCGGTCACAAAGACCCGGCCCAGCACCCTTCCACAATCCAACAGCGCCCCTCTCCCGGGCCGGGAGCTACGGAAGGAAGGAAGGAAGGAGGTGGAGGGGAGAGAGGCTCTCTGTGGGAATAAAGTTTCCATTTCAATTATTCAGCTGATCCTTGACCCCCATTACCATGGATAATCAAAAACTGGCTGGATGCATCGTGCTTTAAATAAAAACATCATTTAAGTGCCCCCGAGTACGTGCAGACAGATAATTGCATGGGGCGCACGTCCAATTGCACTTCAGGAGAGGTACTTTCCTGCAGGCACGCAGCCGAGAACAGCCGCCGTCAGCGCGCTGCCGCATCTGCGCCGGGCTGCTTCCGGAAGGCGCTCGCAGGGACCGCCGCTTTTCCATCACGCGAGCACGAGGGTCGTGAACCTCTGGCAAGCAGAGAGCCGTGCGGGGGGCAGGAAGGGGCCCCGTGTGTCCCCAGGGCAGGGGGCTGCTGAGCCCCCGAGAGGGGCCCACATGTGGCTGCACCTGGCTTACTCCTGCGAGTCGCCCCACGCAGGGCCAGGAAGCACTGGGGCATCGTGGTCCCCGGATAGGGACCTAGGGTCCTCTTCGTGCCGGGCGGTGCGGGGTGCTGGGGTGCGCATGGGCAGCCGGGCACTCCAGCCAGCAGCGCCGGCGCCACAAGACGGGGCGCGCATGCTCCGGAGCGCACACCTGCTGCGGCGCGCCCCTCGCTGGAGAGCCCGCAGCGCCGCGGGCGACCACCTGTCCTGCCCGGTCTTGGTTCTCGGGCGCTGTGCTCCATGGGGCTAACACACAGGGTGCTCTGGGGAGGGAAAGGTCGGCAGCAAGAGGGCTGAGCCCGGGAGAGGCCCTGGCCTGTGACTCGGCCGCTGTGGATCTGACGCATCAGGTGCCTAGCGCGTGTGTTCAGGAGCCCCATAGCTGAGGCCCTGCAGGCCTGGGTCGCCGCCCCCCTGCTCAACCCCACTCTCAGCCCTGGGCAAGCCAGGTGGCTCTGCCTGGGTTGCTGTTTGCAGCCCCCTCCCTGGGGGCTTTCTGCCATGTGATTGCACATTTGGGGACAGAATCCCGAAGGCACAGATCCTTCTGTTCCTCCTGGCGGAAGCTTCTAGAAGGAACGCATGTCCCACAGGGTGAGGCCAGTGCGGCTTTGGCCCTGAGCACGTGGCTGTGCTACCTGTGTCTCCCATGGACCCATGGGCCTCGGAGGGCTTCTCCGGGCTTGCCGGTTTTTCCTTTTAGCTGCCTGGGATAATCTTGCTTCCAAGAACAGCCGTGCGGGCTGCGATTTGCCAGATGGGCCTTGCTCTTGGCAAGTGAGGGACCTGTCTTTCTTGTTTGTTTCCTTGGGAAATGAAGGCCCACGGAAGCAAGTTAAATCTTGGGAAACTCTTTGGCTTTTTCTTTGGTGACACCACCACATGCTCGGCTCACTCTGCAGAGTGCAACCACAGCGAGGAGCTGGGAGAAATTGGGGGGGGGGTCTCACTTTTTACTGTATGGAAGTATAACTCCTAGACTACCAGTCACCCTTGTAACAGATTTTATTTTATACACTATTTGCAAGGCAGAGCAATCTCTTGGTATCTCTCATCTCTGTCTCTGTCTCCATGGACACCTTCCGTCTGCTGGGTCACTCCCTGAATGCCTGGAACGGTCAGGACCAGGCCAGGCTGAAGCCAGGAGCTCCATCGGTCTTCCGCGTGGGTGGCAGGGACCCAAGTACTCAAGCCACCTCTGCTGCCTCCCTGCACCAGCAGGAAGCTGGGCAGCTGGGCTGGAAACAGCGTCCAGGACGCGAGCCAGGCTCTGATGTGGGATGCTGGGTGGCCGGAGGCACGCCCCGCACACCACGTTTAAAGTGCACAGTTCAGAGTTCTCAGTGCATCGCAGAGCTGGGCAACAATGACATGAGCTCATTCCCAAACTCTGTCGACACCCCCAAAGAGAAACCCCAGCCCCTGGAGCCGTCTCTCCAGGATTTCCTTCCTCTCCTGACTCCGCAGTTTGCGCTCTTCCCCGTCCCTCCAGACTATCTATTTTAGACATTGCATGCGAGTGGACTCCTAGGGGGCACGGCCCCGTGTGTCCCCCGTCTTTGTCCTACCGTCACGTTTTCAAGGCTCACCTCCGCTGCACCGGGCATCAGAACTCGGCTCCCTCTCATCGCTGATGCTACTGCGTTCTGAGGAGGTAGCACATTTTGTTTATCCATGAGTCAGCCGCTATTTTTATTCTTAATTAAATCAACGCCAAAGGTGTTTGTTTTATGGAGTGTATTTTGTACTTTATTAATGTCCAGTCATGTGCCTTCAGGGCGGGGACTTTGTGTGGTCGTTAAGACACTGCATTGGGACACCCGCGTCCCGTGTCAGATGCCTGGGCTCCAGTCCTGGCTCCACTTCGCACTCCAGCTTCCCGCTGAGCCACACCTGGGAGGCAGCCAGTGACGGCTCAAGTACTCAAGTCCCTGCCACCTGCAAGGGAGATCGGAACTGAATTCCCAGCTCCCGGCTTCCGTCTGGCCCAGCACCTGCTGTTGGTGGGCATCTGGGGAGTGAACCAGCGGGTGGAAGATCTGTCTGTCTGTCTCTGTCTCTCTGCCTTTCAACTAAATAAAAATCGTTAAAGAACGAAAGAGCTTGCATTCGGACTATAACGCTGGGGGACAAGGGGGAGTGCAAGGCCGGAGTGAGAGGGGTGGGCGTGGCTGCAGCTTAGGAGCCCAGCCGCCCCTCTCTGCTCGAGTCTCTTGGGCCCGAGACAGGCAGCTCCTGGGCTGTCAGGTTCTCCCCCATCCTGGGCCCTGCCAGCAGCTCCCAGCAGCGCCTCAGCCTCCTCCCTCCTCCCTCCTGCCCACGGCCACCGCTGCCCAGCTGCCCTCGCCCCTTCCAGGACAGCAAAGGATCCACGAGGCTTCTGGGTCATTCCTAGGCCTCCCCTGTGTGCTGCCTGCTGTTCTGTCCATCAAACTCTAATGCACCCCACCCTGCTCCGCTCAGGAAGGCTTCCCCTCACCCTCTTCCCTGAACTCCCCTGGCACTTTGTGTCGGGTCTGGCGTGGCCTTGGGTGGCACTCACAGCCCTCACGAATGGCAGAGGTGTAGGTGTCTGGAAATTGGGCACGGGTGCCAGAGCCGGGGCAGACCCCCGAGCTAGGCTGCTGGGTTGTGGGGAAGCCCCGGGGGTGGGGTGCAGCTGGATTCACGGCATCGATGAGTTCTTTCCTGTTCTCAACTGCACACTCCTGTGGCCTCCTGCACAGCCTGCGTGCGCCGCTGCCTGGTGCTGGGTGTGCAGGAAGTGGAAACGTGCAAATCCAGTGCCCGGCTCGTCCTGCCAGGTGGAGCTGACCCCAGCCGGATCCAGCCGAGCAGGAGGCAGCGGTCATGACTGACGTCACAGAGGAGCCAGGGAGCACCCGGCTCCAGGAGGCTCAGCCCCGCGGAGCCAACGCGCGGCTGCTCTCTCCGCAGCCCGTTCAGCGCCTGTTGTGCCGAGTCTCTCTCCCAAAGCCGTCTCCTCCTCCTTCCTCGTATTTGGGTCTCAGGACCCTCTGTTGGCCTCAGACCGTGCCTTGTAGAGTGCCGCGTCTTCTAAAGAGGGTTAAGGAGTGACCACCTCCCCCGGACCCCCCGTGCTCCTTTGGTCGTTCCACAGTCAGAGCCAGCAGGGTTGATGAGACTAGGAGGGCTGGGGATGCAGTCAAACCCTGCCCCGGGGCAAAATCTGAGGGCCATCAAAAATGCGGTCATCAAGACAACATTTCCATACAATCTTTTTTAAACAAAAAAGGAATGCAAACAAGTGCACAGTAGACAAAACGTCAAAATCATCAACGAAGAGAGCAGTACAGAGACCACTGGCCGGGTCTCCTGCTGTGATCCCAGGAAACACTGGGGTGACGCGGGGGAGGCCTTGCAAATGCTTGCTCCAGCCCCCTGTGCAGGAGCATGACCCCCCCTCCCCGCCCCGAACAATCTGATCGTTAATGCACACCTACGCTTCCGGGCAGTCGCCTCTGTGAGTCGTTAGATCAATAATCACGATTGCTAAAGACCTGAGCCGTGCTTCTGGGTTTTCTTTCTCTCTCTCTGCTTCTCTCTCTTCCTGTTTTCTAAGGGTTGCTGCTGTGACGTTAAGTAATGTATAGAAAATAGTTTACTTCCTATTTCTGAGCCAGACCAAGTTTCATCTCCAGCCGAGCTCCTCCAGGTCTCTCGACACGGTGCTCGGCTCTGTTCACCGTGGACTTGGCTCCGCAGCCAGCCCGGGAGGACGCCGCCCTCTCTCGCTGTGTCTTCAAAGGCTGCACATCCCTGCTCTGTCCTCTGAGGTCCACCTGCCGAGCAGGACCTGGTGGAGGACACTAGGACATCTCCCCGAAGTCTTGCACAGGTCTTGCAAAGCGCGGGAAGCCCCTCCAGGGAGTGGCGGGCGGGCCCTGCGCGCCTGCCTCAGTGTGGCCGTCCTGTCCTTCCGGATGGACCTGTGGCTGTCTTCTCAGGGCCAGGCCCGGGCTTGAACCCGAGCAGCCCTGGCTGGAAGCCCCCTCTCTCCATGAAGGTACGTGACCTGCGCACGCCGCAGACTGAGGACGTGGTTCTTTTTTAATCAACGGGCTCCTTCCCCTGGGTGAGGCTGCTCTAGTCGTTCTCGATGATATATTTGTCCTCAAGCAGGCAGTTAGGAAGAAATGCTGTGTGCAACTGAGCCTGACCCCGGTCAGTAATTCTCTTGTGGGCTTAACACTACTGGCTGCATTTGTCAAAAATATATATTGCTATTCCTAGTGGTTTTCAGAAACGGGGTCTGTAACCCTTGTTCTACTAAGCATAAAAACATTGATAAGGAGATTTATTGATTGTGAACTGTTTTGCTCCCCCAACAATGCACCTAACTAAACCAAGGAGTGGCTGGAAATGTCCATTATAATGGCTGAGGGGCGGCTGATGCGCGCACAGATGCGGGCTAATCTGCATATCAAGGTATTTGGGAGAAAGGCTATTTATGGCGGTCCTGATCAGCCACCCAAAGGGTGCATTTTTCAGCGAGATTTACGAGGGCCAACAGACTATTTACACACACACTCCGCTTCCCAGTATCCAAAATAGCTGAGAGCGGGCAGGGTCTCAGATAAGCCCCCGGAGCCCCGTTCTGGGAGGTGAGGCACCTCTGCTTTCCCGTAGCAAATCTTTCTGTAAGAATGAAACCAGAGATGTTATCTACCGAAATAGAGAAACAACCTTGGCCTGCTGGAAAAAACAGAGCAAACGTCAGGGCCCCTTGAAAATAGCGTGCGTCTCCACCATCCTCCCACTCTTGCCCCAGCCCAGAGCAGGCGTGCAGCGGGGCCAGGGGCAGCTGGTGTCGAGAGCACATGGTTGGGGGCCGTGGCCCCCGGGAGCCCCCGTGGGAAGATGGGCCTCCCCAGCTGGGGGAGGGGCTCCGAGGGGCGGTTAGTGGTGGGACCCGGAGACAAGCTGAGGCTCCCTGGGGAAATGAGCTCACCAACCAGCCCCGGGGCGAGAACTTACCCTGGAGATCTGAGCCTGCACAGGGAGGTCCTTTGGCCTGGGTTTGGTTAAGGGCACCAGAAACCCAGGCACACAGAGAGGCCCCTGTGTCCACGCACTCACACCTGCCTGCTCGGCCTGGCCTCTGAACACGGGGGCTTGAGCCCCACTCGAGAGGTGGAGGAGCCCGGGAGAGGAGGTGCACACACAGCTGTCGCCTGCGAGGCCACCCCGGCCCCCGGCGCTGGCAGAGCTCCTGGGGGTGGAGTGGGGTAGCACTCAGCACTCGCAGCAGAGCTCCCTGGGCGCAGGTTGGAGGCCTCCCAGGCCTCCAGCTGCCCTGTGGGCTCCCTCCCTTGTCATGGCGCTCTCTTCATCCACTTGGGTGGCGAGGAGACGCCGCCTTGGCATGCAAGGGAGCAGGGAACACAAGTTATAGGTGGTGTGGCGCTCACGGCTGGGGCCGGGGTTCTAGGTAAACTGCAGACGCCGCATGCAGTCACGCTGGCTCGTCTGGGGACCGTTGTTCTTGTTTGGGTTTGATTCTTCTTTACGTGTTATTTTTATAAACCAGCCTTTCTGTTTTGAGACCATCGCGGGCTCACCTGCAGCTGCCCGGTCCCTCCCCCACTTCCCCCTGCCAACATCCTGCCAATCACAGGGCAGGTCTTGACCGTGATGGGGTCAAGACTGGGGACCACGTCCATTGCCCCGCCACGTGGATACCCCGTAGCCATGCTCCCCGCCCCCTGCTCCCCCCTTCCCTGCCAGCCCTTACACCCAACAGCCACTGATCTGCTCTCGGGTCCTGCGCTGGCCACCTGGAGAAGGTTCTATGAGCGGAATCGTGTAGCCTTGAGGGTGCTGCTTTTCTCGTGGCATCACACCGCTCTCTGGAGTTTGCTCCGCGCGCCTCGTGGTATGCGGCGTGTTCATTTTTATTGCCGTGTAGTACTCCGGTATATGGATGTGCCATGGCGGCTTTAAGCACTCGGCCGATTCCAGGCTTTAGCTGCTACAGGGAAAGGTGCCAGGCGTATCGGTGTCCAAGCTTCTGTGTGACCAGGTCTTCGCGTCTCGGGATGAACGCCCGGAAGGCCGGTGGCTGGGTCCTCTGTACAGCTGCTGGCTTTAATTTGTTGCTTGTTTGTTTCAAAGCAACGGCCAGGCTCTTCTCTGGAGAAGCTGTGCCTCGTCTTACGTGCACCTGCGTGTCTGCAGCGTCTCCACACCCTGGCCAGCACTTGGTGTCTTGCTAGTTTTTATTGTTGCCATTCTGGTAAGGGTGCAGTGAAATCTCACTGTGGTTTCATTTGCATTTTCTTGGTGGCTGAAAATGCTGAGGCCTCCCCCATACTTATTTGTTGTCTCCATGTCTGCGTCAGGGAGTAAGTCTCATGTTTTTTGCTCGTTTTCCAATTGGGTACCGTTGGATTTTAAAATTTTTATTTTGCGGCCGCGCTGTGGTGTAGAAGGTAAACCTCTGCTTCCAGCGCCGGCATCGCATATGGGCACCGGTTCGAGTCTTGGCTGCTCCACTTCCAATCTAGTCCCTGCTATGGCTGGGAAGGCGGTGGAAGATGGTCCAGGTGCTTGGACCCCTGCACCCACTTGGGAGACCGGAAGAAGCTCCTGGACCCTGGCTTCGGATTGGCCCAGCTCCAGCCATTGTGGCCATTTGGACATTTGGGGAGTGGATGGAAGACCTCTTTCTATTTCTCTCCCTCTCTCTGACTATAACTCTGCCTCTCAAATAAAAAAATAAAATTTAAAAAATATTTTTAGGGGCCGGCACCATGGCTCACTTGGTTAATCCTCCACCTGTGGCACCAGCATCCCATATGGGCACCAGTTCTAGTCCCGGTTGCTCCTCTTCCAGTCCAGCTCTCTGCTGTGGCTCGGGAAGGCAGTGGAGGATGGCCCAAGTGCTTGGGCACCTGCACCTGTGTGGGAGACCAGGAAGACGCACCTGGCTCCTGGCTTCAGATCGGTGCAGCACCAGCCATGGCGGCCATTTGGGGGGTGAACCAACGGAAGGAAGACCTTTCTCTCTCTCTCTCTCTCACTGTTTATAACTCTGTCAAATAAATAAAAATTAAAAAAAAAACTATAAAAATATTTTTAAAAATTTTTATTTATGAGAGAGAGAGAGAGTCTTCCTTCTATGGGTTTACTCCTCAAATGTCCACAACAGCTGGATCTGGGCCAGGTCAAAGCCAGGAACCTGGAACCCAATCTCGTGTCCCACGTGGGTGTCAGGGACTGGATTCCTTGAGCCACCACTGGCTGCCGCCCAGGGTGCACATTAGCAGAGGGCTGGATGGGAGGGAGAACTGGGATTCGAACCAGGTGCTCTGAAGTGGGAAGTGGCATCTTGCCGGCTGCCTAACGCCTGCCTGCATCCTACGGCTGAGGTCAGCTTCCTCTCCGTTGTTCTAGGTCGTGCGCCTGTTGCTTGCAGACATTCTCTGCAGGTCTGTGGCCAGTGCTTTTACGCTGGTGTTATGAGCAGGGGTTTTCATGGAGCAAAAATTTATAATTAATTTTTTCCTTTTATGGCTCCTGGTTTTTGTGGTAAGCCTTGACACTCTTTCCTATGCCTCAGATTCTAAAAATTTCCTCCTCTTTCTTCCCAAAGCCCTGTGGTTTTACATTTCCCATGGACGCCTCTTCTGCCTCTTGGGTTAATTTTTGTAAGGGCATGGTGTGAAGTTTAGGTTGAGGTTTTTTCTTTGTTTTCTGTGGCCTGTGGAAGACACTGACCAAAAGGCCTTTCTTTCTCTACTCAATTGCTTTGAACCTTTATCAAAACTGAGTTGGATGAATTGGTGCAGGTGTATTTCTGTTTCTTTTTCATTATTATTCTGTTCTGTGGACCCACGTGGCTGTGCCTCTGACAATGCGTTGTGATTACCGTGGCTGTATGACACATCTTCAAATCAGGCAGCCCGCTTCTTCTCACTTTATCATCCCGCATCAAGATTAGTGGAGGTCTTCTAGTTCTTTTTCCTTTCTATATGAGTCTTAGAATAATTTTGTCTCTGCCCCAAAAAAACCTCCCTGGGGCCGGTGCCACGGCTCGCTAGGCTAATCCTCCGCCTGCGGCGCCACACCCTGGGTTCTAGTCCCAGTTGGGGCGCCAGTTCTGTCCCAGTCGCTCCTCTTTCTGTCCAGCTCTCTGCTGTGGCCCGGGAGTGCAGGGGAGGATGGCCCAAGTGCTTGGGCCCTGCACCCCATGGGAGACCAGGAGGAAGCACCTGGCTCCTGGCTTCGGATCAGCGCGGTGCACAGGCCGCAGTGGCCATTGTGGGGTGAACCAACGGAAAAGGACGACCTTTCTCTCTGTCTCTCTCTCTCACTGTCCACTCTGTCTGTCAAAAATAAAATAATCAAAAAAAAAAAAAAACTTCCCTGGGATTTTGACGGGGATGGCATTAATCTGTACAGTTTTACTCTCTGGAGTCTTCCGGTCCACGCTCGCAGCGTGTCCTTGTGGGATTTCGGTTTCCTCCGACGTCTCCCAGCAGCGTTTTATAAGTGTTCAGCATTTTTGTTGGACTGAATTCTCAGTCTTTTGGAGTTTGAGGGAGTATTGTGTATGAACGGCATTGCATTTGAAATTTTGGTCTCCAGTTATTCACAGCTAGAATGGAGACATACTCTTGACTTCTGTGTGTGTGACCTTGAACCCCGAGCCCTTGTGGAACTAACCTGAGACTTTGTTGCTGATGCTGATTCCAGGGGACTTTCTGTGTAGACGCTCGAATCGTCTGCGGTAGGGGCACCCTCCTTTCTCCGTGTGGATTTTATGTTTGCTCGCGACGATGTGGTGACGCAGAGCCGGGGGCGTGGGCATTTTCCTCTTGTGCCTGGTCGCAGGGGAACCGTTTGAGTTTTCTGTGTTAGGGAGGTCGGCTTCGGGGTTTCGTAGATGCCCCTGATCTGGGCGACAAGATTCCCCCTCTATTTCTGTCCTCCGGAGAAGTGTTAAGACTGGGAGTCAGGCTTTGCCAGTCTTTTCCCACAGCGATTGTTATGGCTGAGTGGTTT